TAGTTTGAGTTAGAAATAGTATTCAAGCTGTGTGTTCGTACCATTGTTTGCTTAATAGCATTATTTTGCTAGTTTGAGTTAGAAATAGTATTCAAGCTGTGTGTTCGTACTATTGTTTGTTCTACACCATTATTTTGTCAGCTTGAGTTAGAAATAGTATTTAAGCTGTGTGTTCGTACTGTTGTTTATTTAACACCACTATTTTGTCAGTTTGAGTTTCAAGTAGTATGTAAACTACTTGTTCGTACTATTGTTTATTTAACACCATTATTTTATCATCTTGAGTTTCAAGTAGTATGTAAGTTCGTACTGTTTGTTCAACACAACTATTTTGTCAGCTTGAGTTTCAAATAGTATGGAAGCTACGTGTTCGTACTGTTGTTTGTTCAACACCATTATTTTGTCAGCTTGAGTTTGAAATATTATGTAAGCTATGTGTCCGTACTATTGTTTGTTCAACGCCATTATTTTGTGGCTTGAGTTTGAAATAGTATATAAGCTGTGTGTTCGTACTATTTTTTATTCAAGAGCACTATTTTCTCAGCTTGAACTTGAAATAGTATATAAGCTGTATGTTCGTACTATTCTTTGTGCAACATCATTATTTTATCAGCTTGAGTTTGAAATAGTATGTAAGCTGTGTGTTTGTACTATGGTTTGTTTGCCACCACTATTTTGTCAGCTTGACTTTGAAATATTATGTAAGCTGTGTGTTTGTACTATTGTTTGATTAACACCACTATTTTGTGAGCTTGAGTTTGAAATAGTTTGTAAGCTGTGTTTGTACTATTCTTTGTTCACAACATTATTTTATCATCTTGAGTTTGAAATAATATGTAAACTGTGTGTTCCTAATATTGTTTGTTAAACGCCATTATTTTGTCAGCTTTAGTTTGAAATAGTATTTAAGCTGTGTGTTCGTACTATTGTTTATTTAACACCATTATTTTATCATCTTGAGTTTCAAGTAGTATGTAAGCTATGTGTTCGTTACTGTTGTTTGTTCAACACCACTATTTTGTCAGCTTGAGTTTGAAATAGTATGTAAGCTACGTGTTCGTACTATTGATTGTTCAACACCATTATTTTGTCAGCTTGAGTTTGAAATAGTGTGTAATCTTTGTGTTCGCACTATTGTTTGTTTAACACCACTATTTTCTCAGCTTTAGTTTGAAATAGCATGTAAGCTGTGTGTTCGTACCATTGTTTGCTTAATAGCATTATTTTGTCAGCTTGAGTTTGAAATAGTATGTAAGCTGTGTGTTCGTACTATTGTTTATCTAACACCACTATTTTGTCAGTTTGAGTTTCAAGTAGTATGTAAGCTGTGTGTTCGTACTATTGTTTGTTCAACACCACTATTTTCTCAGCTTGAGTTTGAAATAATATGTAAGCTGTGTGTTCGTACCATTGTTTGCTTAACAGCATTATTTTATCAGCTTGAGTTTGAAATAATATGTAAGCTGAGTGTTTGTACTATTGTTTGCTTAAAGATTACATACTATTTCAAACTCAAGCTGACAAAATAATGGTGTTGAACAAACAATAATACAAACTCACAGTTTACATATTATTTCAAACTAAAGCTAACAAATAGTGGTGATGAACAAACAATAGTACGAAAACACAGCTTACATAACATTTCAAACTCAAGATGATAAAATAATGGTGTTGTGTTTGTACTATTATTCGTTCAAGAGCACTATTTTTTCAGCTTGAGCTTGAAATAGTATATAGGCTGTGTGTTCGTACTATTCTTTGTGCAACACCATTATTTTATCAGCTTGAGTTTGAAATAGTATGTAAGCTGTGTGTTCGTACTATGGTTTGTTTAACACCACTATTTTGTCAGCTTGAGTTTGAAATAGTATGCAAGTTGTGTGTTTGTAGTATTGTTTGATTAACACCACTATTTTGTGAGCTTGAAATAGTATGTAAGCTGTGTGTGTTTGTGCTATTATTTGTTCAACACCATTATTTTATCATCTTGAGTTTGAAATATTATGTAAGCTGTGTGTTCGTACTATTGTTTGTTAAACACCATTATTTTGTCAGCTTTAGTTTGAAATAGTATGCAAGTTGTGTGTTTGTAGTATTGTTTGATTAACACCTCTATTTTGTGAGCTTGAGTTAGAAATAGTATGCAAGCTGTGTGTTTGTACTATTATTTATCTAACACCATTATTTTGTCAGTTTGAGTTTCAAATAGTATGTAAGCTATGTGTTCATACTATTGTTTGTTCAACACCACTAATTTTTTCAGCTTGAGTTTGAAATAGTATGTAATCTTTGTGTTTGAACTATTATTCGTTCAAGAGCACTATTTTCTCAGCTTGAGTTTGAAATAGTATATAGGCTGTGTGTTTGTACTATTCTTTGTTCACAACATTATTTTATCATCTTGAGTTAGAAATAGTATTTAAGCTGTGTGTTCGTACTATTGTTTATTTAACACCACCATTTTGTCAGTTTGAGTTTCAAGTAGTATGTAAGCTATGTGTTCGTACTATTGTTTGTTCAAGACCGCTATTTTCTCAGCTTTAGTTTGAAATAGTATGTAAGCTGTGTGTTCGTACTATTGTTTTTTTAACACCATTATTCTGTCTGCTTGAGTTTGAAATAATATGTTAAGCTGTGTGTTCGTACTGTTGTTTATTTAACACCACTATTTTGTCAGTTTGAGTTTCAAGTAGTATGTAAACTATTTGTTCGTACTATTGTTTATTTAACACCATTATTTTATCATCTTGAGTTTCAAGTAGTATGTAAGTTCGTACTGTTTGTTCAACACAACTATTTTGTCAGCTTGAGTTTCAAATAGTATGGAAGCTACGTGTTCGTACTGTTGTTTGTTCAACACCATTATTTTGTCAGCTTGAGTTTGGAATAGTATGTAAGCTGTGTGTTCGTACCATTGTTTGCTTAATAGCATTATTTTGTCAGCTTGAGTTAGAAATAGTATTCAAGCTGTGTGTTCGTACTATTGTTTACTTAATACCATTATTTTGTCAGCTTGAGTTAGAAATAATATGTAAGCTGTGTGTTCGTACTATTGTTTTTTTAACACCATTATTCTGTCTGCTTGAGTTTGAAATAATGTGTAAGCTGTGTGTTCATACTATTGTTTGCTTAACACCATTATTTTGTCAGCTTGAGTTTGAAATAGTATGTAAACTTTGTGTTCGCACTATTCTTTGTTCAACACTATTACTTTATCATCTTGAGTTTGAAATATTATGTAAGCTGTGTGTTCGTACTATTGTTTGTTAAACACCATTATTTTGTCAGCTTTAGTTTGAAATAGCATGCAAGTTGTGTGTTTGTAGTATTGTTTGATTAACACCACTATTTTGTGAGCTTGAGTTAGAAATAGTATGCAAGCTGTGTGTTTGTACTATTTATCTTTCAACACCATTATTTTATCAGCTTTATTTATGATCAGTTCGTTATTGTTCGTTAGTTCCTCTAGAGCACACATTTCTTCATGGTTAAACTTATATCCGTACCTTTTATTATTGTTGTAGATATTTAATCTTAATTAATCCGTTAAATTCAGTTGTAGTTACCTCATGTGGATGTAGAGATGGCAAAGTTTAGACTAAGTTTTGAAAATTTATTTTGTATAATAGTTAAATTAAATCCTTCATAAAATCATATTAGTTGAAATTCACGAGCGACACGAAACATTTATCCCCGTCCGAAAGAAGGTACGTGGAAGAAGGTGATCTCGATACTTCCAGAAGTTGTTGTCTGGACGTGTTCCACTGTCTAGGAGAGCATTACTCCTGCACAGCTACTAACGGGGAGTTGGCTCAAGACATTTCTTAAGAGTAAGTTATTTCTAATTTGTATGATCAAACGTGATCCGTCGCCTGAGGGTACTTAATAATTTAATGACGTCATCCAACCAGTCAGTACGTGTTTTAGTACCAGAGGATAATATTGAATGTGAAATATGAATAAGGTTATCCCTGGCTGCGCAATATGGCTGTCCTTTCTGGGGGTTGTTATTTTAAGGTGAATCGGATATGACATAATCCAATATGGCTGCGCCTAATGGGGTTGCTATTTTAAGATCCATCGGATGTGACATCATCCAATATGGCTGTCCTTACTGGGAGCTGTCATTTTAAGATCTAATTTATGTGATATCAACCAGTATGGCTTTGCCTATTGGGGGCTGCCATTTAAAGATCAATAATAAGTGACATCATCCAATATGGTTGTTATTATTAAGATCATCATCTTGAAATTAACCAGGTGAGACATAAATTGACTTCTCTTAGGTAAAATGTTAATTGTTTTGTCAATAGTACTGATGCTTATAGTAAAATTTTACGATCGAAACGCTACTTTCAGTACTTGTGTTTCTATCTACAAACATCACATTTCTTTATAATAACGACTCAGTTACACAACAAACATAAGCATTTTACTTTTATATGACAAGGTTGTGTCCTTTTTATTATCCATTATTGACGGAATTAGAAAGATGGTATAACATATTATAATAAAACATTCATCAATTTCAGTTTTAACTGTCAGGGTTTGGAGATTCTTCTCTTAGATTTCCTGAATTTAAGGAAATCTCCTTCTCGTCCGCCTTGTTTTCAACCTCTTCTACTGCATTCTCATCTTCTGCCGAATTTTCGTCTGAATACAAGTTCTGTAGCCTGCTACTCAACAAGAATACAATAAACTCGAAGACGGTACCGAGTCCCATGAAGACGAAGGTGGCGCCATGCAGGTAATAGCGGAATTTTTCATGATCGTAAATCCAGCAGTTTCCTGTTTCTCCACATCGTTCTTCCCATACAAGGCAGGCCGAGTCGGTGATACTGCCGTATACCAGGGGGTAAGGAATAAAAGCTACAAGACAAAAATGTAGAGGGAACTAAATGGATTGTAGATGGCGTTAAAACTACAAACAAAACCATCTTCACTATTCTCTGATAAAGCAATCAAAATGACCAGTTTCATACATCTAGTAACTGAAGCGGTATTGTTTCTATACATGCGTATTTTATGGTCAGCGAAACGATCTAATCAGGAAATGTTGTCCTAAAACATTAGTTAACAACACTAGCCAGGAAATAACACTGTAAATATTAATTAACAACACCAGTCAGGCAATATCGTGCTGAAGTATTAGTTAACAACACCAGCCAGGAAATAACGTCCTAAAGTACTAGTTAGCAACAACGGCTAGGTATTAACAGTCTAGACATTAATTAACAACACCAGCCAGGTAATAACGTCCTAAAGTACTAGTTAACAACAACGGCCAGGTAATAACGATCTAAAATACTCGTTACCAACACCAGCGAGGAAGTAACGTCCTAAAGTACTAGTTAACAACAACGGCCAGGTAATAACGTCCTAAAGTACTAGTTAATAACAACAGCGAGGTAATAACACTCTAAATATTAATTAACAACACCAGCCAGGAAATAACGTCCTAAAGTATTAGTTAACAATAACGGCCAGGTAATAACACTCTAAATATTAATTAACAATAACGGCCAGGTAATAACACTCTAAATATTAATTATAAATAATGGCTGGGAAATAAAAACTGACCAATCTGAATCGACCAATATTCAAATTTATGCTAAATTATTATTTAACGTTTTAACAAATAATATACATATAAACTATTCTGAGCAGCAGCAAAACCTTGAAATTATAATAGCCATTGTTTCAAAAAAAAGACATTATATACCATCGAATTGTTATGAAGTAGCAGTAGTGGTGGTGGTTTACCGAACACAAACAATAGAACAATGGTGAGAAAACTCTGGGCATGACATGGACTGGTGGTTAGGGCGCTCAATTCGCAATCTGCGGGAAGCGGGTTTGAATCCCCGTCATTGAACATGCTCGCCCGTTAAACCGTGGGGGAGTAATGTTGTCATAAATTGTGAACATTTCCACTAAACAACGTCTCCAAAATCTGTGGGTAATGTTGTCATAAGTTGTGAACATTTCCACTAAACAACGTCTCCCCAAATTTGTGGGTAATGTTGTCATACGTTGTGAACATTTCCACTAAACAACGTCTCACCAAATTTGTGGGTAGTGTTGTCTTACGTTGTGAACATTTCCACTAAACAACGTCTCCCCAAATTTGTGGGTAATGTTGTCATAATTTGTGAACATTTCCACTAAACAACGTCTACGAAAATTTGTGGGTAATGTTGTCATACGTTGTGAACATTTCCTGTAAACAACGTCTCCCCAAATCTGTGGGTAGTGTTGTCATAAGTTGTGAAAATTTCTATTAAACACGGTCTCCCCAAATTTGTGGGTAATGTTGTCATAAGTTGTGAACATTTCCACTAAACAACGTCTCCCCAAATTTATGGGTAATGTTGTCATAAGTTGTGACCTTTCCACTAAACAACGTCTCCTAGAATTTGTGGGTAATGTTGTCATACGTTGTGAACATTTTCCCTAAACAATGTCTCCACCAATTTGTGGGTAATGTTGTCATAAGTTGTGAACCTTTCCACTAAACAACGTCTCCTAGAATTTGTGGGTAATGTTGTCATACGTTGTGAACATTTCCACTAAACAACGTCTCCTAGAATTTGTGGGTA